GAGAGGAAGAGAGAGAGAGAGAGCGAAAGAGAAAGAGAGAGCGAAAGAGAGAGAGAGAGGAAGAGAGAGCGAAAGAGATGGAGAGAGGAAGAGAGAGAGAGAGAGCGAAAGAGAAAGAGAGAGCGAAAGAGAGAGAGAGAGGAAGAGAGAGAGAGAAAGATGGAGAGAGGAAGAGAGAGAGAGAGAGAGAGAGAGAGAGAGAGAGAGAGAGAGAGAGGAAGAGAGAGAGAGAAAGATGGAGAGAGAGAGAGAGAGAGCGAGAGAGAGAGAGAGTGCAAGTCAACTCAAGGGCAAGTTGTGACACGGGGTCATGAACAGGTCACCACTATACAAGGTTTGGTTTATCACATTAGTTCAGGTAGCAATACAAAATCTTGTATTCACAAACTCTCGGGGGTACAGTGCTGCCCTCTGTTGCACGACCTGTCGACCCCGGCAACAAAAAACGCGAGCGTCTGCATAATTCAATGCATTAATTTAGAGTGTGCGTACGTACACGAAAAAAATAAAAGTGTGAGTGCGCGTAACAAAAAAACAAAAGAGCATGATAGCGAGTTGGCGCACGCATTATTCGTGGTCGTCGGCGGCAACGACCACTACCTGGTGTCGCCATTATCATCGCAGGGCTTCACCTCTCGACGAACTCGTCGCCACGGCAACCAGCAGCTGCGCTCCGTGTCCTGTCTCAAACGAACGAACGAACGGACGAATCGCGCTAGATGTGTTCCAACGAAAATCGACAAAATTTCGCAGTGAAGAACACACGCAGGCTGGTACCACCACAGGTTGGAAGTAGTTCAAAGAACCACCACAGGTTGGAAGTAGTAGTTCACTGCTAACTTTATAACTCAGTGGCATCGAGTGATACGTTCGTTAAATGAACACACATGGTAGTGTGACAGTGCCCCCCCCCCATCCACGTCACGTGAGACGGTCCAGGCCTCCCCCTTCACAGGGTAGAAGCAGTGGATCTGTCCACCCTCCCCCATCTACGTCTCGTAGAGATGGTGCAGGCCTCCCCTACACACACACGGGGTAGTGGCAGTGGATCTGTGTCCCGTAGAGACGGTCCAGGCCTCACCCTTCACACACGGGTAGGGGTAGTGGATCTGTGTCCGTAGAGACGGTCCAGGCCTCCGCTACACACACGGGGTAGTGGCAGTGGATCTACGCCCCGTAGAGACAGTGCTGACCTCCGCTACACACACGGGGTAGTGGCAGTGGATCTATGTCCCGTAGAGAAGGTGCAGGTCTCCCC